TAATAAAGCTGTTAAAAATTAGTGATAAAATCTGTTTGCTTATGCTCAAATCAAATAGATTTAACTTCTGACAATCATCTTACAGTTTAGTACTACCATTGCTCCCATTCCCTCACTGGACACTTTGTACAAGGAAAAGATTTTGTAAAAGTTCAGTAACAAGTAGCCAGTTAAACAACTAATTTGTAAATAAATGTAGATTTCAGAATTAAAACAGACTGAATAGGACTGAACTATTTTCTAGATGCATGTTAGTGGGCACTACTCTTATATGTCAGTTTACTGAATCTCTTAAGTATACAAATAGTTGAATTCTACACCACAAGGAATCTCAAGGAGCTCACTACCCCTCTAAGGGCTTCAGCTTCCCTAGGCCAGACTCCCTGAAAGGTAATTCTGGCCTCATCTGTCATTGACCTGATACCCCAAATATCACCGCAATTTTTTATAGGTTATGTGATAAGTATCATAAAGACTGGTGCCTTCCATGTCCCTGTCTTGGGTAGAACCACTAAAATGAAAATTTTCCATACTATGTGGGTTACTTGGTCATATCCTGAAATGCCATCCCCAGAGGAAAAAAAAAACTCACATTGTACAGAGATACAGCAAAAAAGAAGCAAACTCAGTCAGAACTTGGCTCTAGAACTGATCTATTAGAAATATTATCTTTAGACAGGGAACTTCACTTCTCTAGATCTCCATTTCATTACTATATAAATTAAGTGGACTAGAAGACCTAAGATTCTGTTCAAGTCCAAAATCCTGTAATTCAAAACCGTGAAATATTAAATCACATGTAAAAATAGCATAAGTATAATGGTAGTTAAAACTGTATAGATGCAAAACCAAAAAAAAAAAAAAAAAATAGCTACCTTCAAAAACACTAGGAAACATCTGTTTTTGGAGTATTAGTACAAGTCTAAATTCCATAGAATCAGAGAAAGAAATCTTTCCTGAGAGTATATGTGAACTAACAACCAGCTAATAACCTCCCCTACCTTCCCTTCTAGTATCCATGACTATTTCAACACTGGTGCATGTAGTGAATTCACAAACCAAATAAAGGTCCAATGTAATTACAAGGCCTATGCCAACCAAATCTCAGAAGAAAATAGTAAACATTTAATACCCACACTTAAATGCATTGATGACTGTAAGTGAACTTGTGTTTTAAATGTAGAATAACCCTATGACCCAGCAATAGCACTGCTAGGAATTTATCCAAGGGACACAGGAGTACTGATGCATAGGGGCAATTTAAAAATTTCAATGTTCATATATAGCAGCACTCTCAACAATAGCCAAATTATGGAAAGAGCCTAAATGTCCATCAACTGATGAATGGATAAAGAAATTGTGGTTTATATACACAATGAATACTAATGGGTAATGAGAAAAAAAATGAAATATGGCCTTTGTAGCAACGCGGATGGAACTGGAGAGTGTGATGCTAAGTGAAATAAGCCATACAGAGAAAGACAGATACCATATGGTTTCACTCTTATGTGGATCCTGAGAAACTTAACAGGAACCCATGGGGGAGGGGAAAAAAAGAGGTTAGAGGGGAGAGAGCCAAAGCATAAGAGACTGCTTGGTAAACTGAGAACAAACTGCTGATGGGGGTGGGAGGGAGGAGAGGGTTGGTGATGGGTATTGAGAGGCACCTTTTGGGATGAGCACTGGGTGTTGTATGAAACCAATTTGACAATAAATTTTGATAGTATAAATAAAAAAAATAAATAAAATAAATAAATAAATAAATGTAGAATATGCTATAAAAATATAGAATATGCTATAAACAATAAACAATAGGTTCTTCAAAATTAGATGGCTTCCAGTTTATATGTTTGACTATTTTGTTTTTAATATTTTATAAAGGCTTTGGCTAATCCCAAATTATTTTTCAACTGCCAACAGCTTGAAAACAATGCTACTTTTTCATTGGTTTAAAGCAGAGTAAAAAGGGCATGCCTGGGTGTAACAGCCAGTTGCTTCGCCTGACCAGCCTGAAAACATGATCTCACTGCTTGTGCCCGGAGCCTGATCAGGCTCTGTGCCGACAGCTCGGAGCCTGGAGCCTGCTTCAGATTCTGTGGCTCCCTCTCTCTCTCTCTGCCCCTCCCCCACTCACACTCTGTGTCCCTCAAAAAATAAATAAATATTAAAAAAAAAAAGATAAAGCATGATAAAAAAACAGATAATCTAATTCCTGTACTTATCTCCATTAAATAGAAAGTATGAAATTATTATCTGAACTGTAGTCTAACCTTAACTATGTTCCTGTTTAGTACAGCATGAAATCAGAAGTATAAATGGGTTAAACAATCGATGGTTTGTAACTAATGTATTCTGATGGTCAGCTATATGGTATAGAATAGTACTTTAATAGCAACAGTCTTTTCAAATATAAAGGCTACTTTTTTTGGTTCAAACCTTGTCCTTGTTAAAAAGTAGAAAACTGGGTTTCAAATACGTGTACTTTCCAGAACTGCCAGGTTGTCAATGTGTTTTTGCAGATATCAAAAAATGTATACCTCAATACAAGAAAAAAATTTAACAGCACTTGGAGTGTTCACTTGGTTGGAACTAAATTTAATAACTTTTATTCAACAGGTTCATGCTAGAGTAATGAACTTTCTAGGGTTCTGATAATCTTCTACTAAATAAATACACCTATGTATTATACACACACACACATATATATGTATAGGGAACTGTACTAGCATACATATTGACTAAAAGAACATATTAAAGACATTATATAAAAAATTTTACATTTTTAATAGGAAAACAACCTTTATGACAGCTAAATAGACAAGATATATTTAATTTTTAAAAAGAAAAATTGTTAGTAATAAGAGTAGAATTCTAGTGATAAATGCACTGAAATAATCTTTTGAAATAAACCACCTTTACAGAAAATTATTAATGCCAGACTCTATTAAAGTGAATAAAAAGGAAATTTATTTCAGAATTTATACCAAAGGTGCATTATGGATACATGTGTTACTCTGGTACAGTAAGGCAGGAAGCCCAGCCTCAATGATAATATAGCCTTCATCCTAACATAGTCTGCCTCTTAGTATGTGCCTCATAAATAGTTTGTTCCAAAAGGTGAAAATTACAAGCGATTTTCTCTATTGATAGCTTTATGAGTAATTTTGACAACAGAATAAAAAAGTCTTAATTCTTATTTTTCTAATTATCTAAAGTCATGTCAGTCTCACAAGAAATATCTGATTATTGTTTTCAAAGAAAATTGAGAAGAGGGATATTTTCAGACTTTTTAAGCAAGCTAAATCATAAATACCATATATAAAAATAAAAGGTAAATTTTAGGCTACCTCTAGATTTTAATTTTTTTAAAAAACATTAAATCATTTTATTTGCAATGGTGAGGTAAAGTGATGAAAAGAAAAACTTGCACAGGTGCTTTCTTAAGAAGACCAATGGATAAAGCAACTGAATCAAGAACTGTGCACAGAGGTGCTGAATGGACAGTCATAGCTACCACATCATGCAGTTTGTTACAAAAAGTGAAACTGCTATAGCTTTTTTAATGTTCACTGTTGCTCTCTTAAAACCTTGCTCAATTTTAGGGGCACCTGGGTGGCTCAGTCAGTTAAGCATCTAACTTCGGTTCAGATCATGATCTTGCAGTTGATGAGTTCAAGCCCCACGTTGGGCTCTGTGCTGACAGCTCAGAGGCTAGAGCCTGCTTTGGATTCTGTGTCTCCCTCTCTCTCTGCCCCTCCCCTGCTTGCACTGTCTCTATCTCTCAAAAATAAATAAACATTAAAAAAAATTTATATATAAAAAAAAGGCTTGCTCGATTTTAAAACAAGTATCAGAAGGAAGTCCCTTACATATGCTTATTTTTCAGTGGCCTCACATAATGATTCTCCCATTTAGAGTAGTTACATATACACTGATGTTTTTATCACAATGAAAAAAGGGAAGAAAGAAAAACAAATGTGGGTTCATAAGATGGAATCCATGAAGAGGCTAATAATGGATCCTTTGACTACAGAAAATCAGCAACAGACTGCAAATATTAATTATAGAAAACAAGGGCACCTGGGTGGCTCAGTTGGTTAAGTGTCCAACTTTGGCTCAGGTCATGATCTCAGAGATCATGAGTTTGAGCCCTGCGTCGGGCTCTGTGCTGACAACTCAGAGCCTGGAGCCTGCTTGTTCTCTGCCCTCTCTCTCTGCCCCTCCCCTGCTTGCACTCTGTCTCTCTTAAAAAAATAAATTAAAAAAAATTAATTATAGAAAACACTTTATCAGTATCATAAAAAAAGAGTATGATAAATTTTTTCTAAAATACTCAATTCATTTTTATGATAATTCAATCAAATACTTATAAATTATTCATGTACTTTTCTGTGAGTTTTTTTTATTATTAATATTTATGTTTTCGGGTATTAGTTTTTCCTGCTCTTGCATCGAAGTCCTCCCATAAATCCCTGGAAAGTCATAAATATCCCTATAGCCATGGGTAAACCACTAAAGTGATAATTCATCAAGATGTATTTTTACCTAATAAATAAATCTGTTGTGAGGTTAATTTCTATTTATATAAAATAATCCCATTTAAGCTATGAAAAATAATGTTCCATATTGACTTTACTATGGCTCAAACCCTCAGACAAATAAGTATCTCGCTGATTGCCTGTTAATGCAAAGAAAACTGGGTAAATTTTATATTCATATTTAAACTACTGAATACCTGTAAACAAAGTAGCATTTATTAAAATAAAATAAACACTTAATTTATACTAAATTCCACTCAGATTTATACAAGTTTTTCATTCTTAATTTTTAAATACATACATGATTTTTTTCAAACATTTTCAGTCAGGTATATACAATAGTAAAATGTGACATCCAAGCCAGAATATGATTTTTAAAATAATGAACCTCTAAACAGCTAGTAATGTACAATGTGTAAAATTCCAATAAAACACAGGTATATTCTTACAGAAATGTTAGTTCTATAATACTGAGCGATATTTACAAGCAAACATGATCCAAACAGCACATGCAGATTCAGGGTAAGTAAACACTCGGACACGAACTGCCAGTCGCACCTGGTCTCCACGGCAACAGATTATTTCTTCACAGAAAGGAGACCTACAGAAGAAAGAAGATTTATTCAATTAAGAAGTGAACATAGGTTTTACTTTTTTCCAAGTAAGTCAGCATTTAAAATAATTTTTAAAAATCCTGTCTCTGCTACCAACAGCCCTGTAATTTTGGTTAAGCTATCCGAAATATAGAACATTTCCTCACAGTGTATAAATTTAAAAAATTACACTAGAAAAGATCAGAAATCTTCAACTAATATTGCACCAAAATCAATGGGAAAATTATCCAACTACCTAGAGCTACATTTCAGACTCACAATCTGTGGCAAGGAAAATAAATCATTATAAAATTTCATTATGTGATTCTAAAATCATTCCTAAAAAACCAGACTAACAGATTGCTAAAACTGTTAAGCCAATAATAACATTTATGAATTCGAAAAGTCATTCACCGAAGACATGTGGCAAATGCACGCCTTGCATTTCTATATACAAAATGTATTGGGAACCCTTTAAATGTGTGACCATCAGGTACAGCCCTCCTTATGGCATCTTGAAATTCTTCATTGCCTGCAGATATACTTGTTGTACGCTCAAATTCATAAGAAGCCAAAGCTGGTGATAAGAGATAGGAAAGCTGGTCTTCCCAAACAGTGGTGAGACCAAGATCCTATAGCAATCAAAAGACAAAAGAAAAAAAGAAAAGGTGAAATACACTAATATTTTAGAAACCAATTGTTAAGTGTTGACTATTTTAACATATGCCAAGAGAAAATTCTTAAAACCTGTCATAATTTTTTAAACTTTCTAGTAACTATTATAAAGACACATGCAAATAAAAAATAAAAGGAACTATAGGTATCTGGTTTTACTTCTTAGAGGAAAAAAATGTTTTTTCTTTTTTTTTAAGTTTATTTATTTATTTATTTTGAGAGAGAGAGAGAGAGAGAGAGAGAGAGAGAGAGAGAGAGAGAGAGAGAGAGAGAGAGAGAGAGACAGGGCAGAGAGAGAATCTCAAACAGGATCCATGCTGTCAGCGCAGAGCCTGACAAGGGGCTCAATCTCACAACCACGAGATCATGACCTGAGCTGAAATCAAGAGTCAGATACGCTTAACTGACTGAGCTCCCCAGGTACCCCCAACAAAAAATTTTCAATACAATGATGTTAGTAAAGGCTCCAAAATCCTATACTTCCTTAATATCCACTAGAAAAGACCATGTGGAGTAGTCCTACTATGAAAAACATGGTATCACTGAATTTTGAGATCACATTTTATTTGACTTTAAATAATACGATTGAATCTGCTTAATTTGAGAGCTCCAACATAAATTTAACTGTAGTAGGGGAGAAAAGTCAACAAATGAATTGCACGTATAATTAAACTCAAGTATTTATTGAGCATTAACTCTTAAAAAAACACTAACTTTTATACTGTAAAGAGATAAAAAGATGAAAAAGACATGCTATAGGCCCTCAGGGAGTTTAAAACATGTTTCTATGGAATGCTGAAGGCAATTATGATTTCATTTATATACATCAGAGAAACTACAGATATTCAGACACATGACATTTTAAAAACAGTTATAAACATAAAAAACTTCTCAAAATTCTAAATATTTTGATATAATAAATCTCTAGCATTTCTTGATTTTGCATTCAAGGTTTTTACTGGTTCCAAGTGACCTCAAAGGTCCAGTATCATCCATCTATTTCCAGCAGCAAAAGCAAATCTCACTTGCTGATTTACAGGCACTACTAACTTAGTGATCAACACTGGTATCTAGCTCAGTTTTGGTTTTGTTTTTTAATTTTTTAAATTTTTTTGGAGGGGGTGCCTGGATGGCTCAGTTGGTTAAGTGTCTGATTCTTGGTTTCGGCTCAGGTCGTGATCCCAAAGTTGTGGGATCGAGCCCTGGGTCAGGGCTGTCTGTGCAGAGACTGCTTGGGATTCTCTCTCTCCCTCTCTCTGCCTCTCCCCTGCTCATATGCATGCGCTCTCTCTCAAAATAAATCAAATAAACTTAAAGAAAATAATAACAAAGAATAATTTTTTTAAGCTTACTTATTTTGAGACAGAGACCATGCAAGCAGGGAAAGGACTGAGAGGGGAACAGACAGAATCCCAAGCAGGCTCTGCACTGTCAGTACAGAGCCCGAGGTGGGTGGTGAACTGTGAGGTCGTGACCTGAGCTGAGATCAAGAGTCAGACGCTTAACCAACCAAGCCACTCAGGCACCCCTGTTTTCTTTCTCTATTCAAATTCTTATAATGTAATAAAATACTGGTTTTGTTTATAAACAAAACCTAAGAAAATTAAAATGCAGTATGAGTGATGGAGGGAAAGGGGCAGTAATGAGGGGCTTTCATTCCCAGCAGTGTAGTGAACTAGATCCTTGAGCAACCTATTGCTGAGAACTACAAATGCCAGACTAAATATTTTCCAAAATACTTTTAGATGCTTTGATGAATTAGCAAGTAAGTATGGCAGATTTTAGAGGCCAAAGCTAATAGTAACTGGAGCCCAGAAAACATATCTATCAGTTTGCCTTTGATGGCCTCAAGAAACACAGAAAACAGGATTCATCAAAAGGTGAATTAGAAATAAATTTTCTGAGATTCTAGTCCTTTATCGGTTATATGTGTTGCAAATAACTTTCCCCATTCCAGCACTGCTCTTTTCAGCCTCTGACTGGTTTATTTTAATGAACAAAAATTCTTAAAATAAACTAATCTTTTATGATTAATGCTTTTTATGTCTTCGTTAATGTACTTTACAAAAGAAATCAAAATGGCTAATAAAGAGGTTTGACCTCATAAGTAATCAGGAAAATGCAAATTAAAGCTAGAAGGATGTAATTTTACATCTACCTAAGTTAGTGTAATAGGAAGAAAAAAACAAACAAAACTAACCTGGAAAAAATGGATATAAAAAATTATAACCCAATATTTTCAATAGGGAATAATACGAATAAGTACTTCACAAAAAAGAAATAAAAACAGTAGTATTTAACAAAATCTGAACTAGTTCACCACTCTTTATTTCTAGAAGGAAGTAATAAATTTTAAAAGTATTGGTGGGGTGCTAGGTGGCTCAGTCGGTTAAGTGACTTGATTTCAGCTCAGGTCAAGAACTTTCGGTCTCACGGTTCCTGAGATACAGTCCAGCATCGGGGCTGTGCACTGACAGCATGGAGCCTGCTTGGGATTCCATCTCTCTCAAAATAAACTTAAAAAGAAAAAACAGTACAAGTATTGGTATATTTGGAAATTTCTGAGTCTCAGAACTTAACTCTCTTGACTCTCAAAACTATAAGCTTCTTAAGGGCAGGAACTCTGCTGCCCTTTGCTTTGTTAAATTTGCTTTGTTCAGGTATAAAAGTGACTGTACTATCCCACCTGCACCCCTCCCAAAATTGTTAAATACATAGACAACTGACAAAAAATGCATGAAACTACTAAGTTCAGTATTAATTACCTTTCTGTGTTCTGACACTAGTAGCCTTAGCTGCATTTCTATTTCATTACTTGTTACTGAAGCATCAATTGTAGATGCACATAGAGGGGGAAAGGGAGGAAGGGATGTTGTAGCTCCTGGGGCACACACAGATTTGATTGCTTCTTCACTCATGGGTTTCCATTTGGATTCATCATTCAAATCAAACACACATATTTCTACTGAGTCAGAGGGCTGACAATTTCCCAGGAACATCTGATGATTGAAAACACAACCAATTGTTCGATATGGGTACAATGGCTTGGGCTGTTCAGCAACTGGAGATTCATCAGGATTGACAGGTTTGTGGATATACCTAAAAGAAGTAAATCATAATTTTATATAAGAACTTAAAAATTAAGAAGGCAGCATCTTATTGAGAAAGAAAATTATTTGAACACTTAAGGCCATAACTACTTCCCAAAACTAGAGTTTAATATTTGTTTTTCCTTCTTATATTTCTACAATTACTCTATCTACAGTAATTGTATGGCACATAGTATGATATAAAAATCAACTCTATTCGGGGGGCACTTGGGTGGCTCAGTTGGCTAAGCATTCGACTTCGGCTCAGGTCATGATTTCACGGTTCGTAGGTTCCAGCCTCGCATCAGGCTCTGTGCTGACAGCTCAGAGCCTGGAGCTTGCTTCAGATTCTGTGTGTCCCTCTCTCTCTGCCCCTTCCCCACTCCTGCTCTGTCTCTCTCTCTCAAAAATAAATAATAAACATTAAAAAAATTTTTTTTAATCAACTCTACTTTAACATGAGAATATATTCTATGTATAATCATTAAGATCAAAAACATTCATCTCAGATAATACAATTAAAATAATTTAGCTACATATTATTAGGCATAACTAACCAAAATGATTATCAACCAGGGAAAAATTCAGAAAAAGAAGAAGATGGCCCAGGACTGAGCCTTTAAGAACTCCAACATTTAAAGACAAGATAAAGGAAAATTGAGAATAGCCAGACAGGAATAATGAAAACTGAAAGTGCTATGGGAGAAGTTAAGGAAAGAAATGATCCTAGCAAGGAGGGAGCACTGAACTCTAAAAAATATGATGACAGAAAAACTAAAAAAAAAGTATACAGTGGATTTACCAATGTGGAGTTGGTGACATCAAATTTTCAAAAGAAATCATGATTTACAACCTGAGCTTATTTTTAGGCTTGGGGAAAAACATCAGAAAAAGAGTATCCCAATTACACAATTAAAAGTAAAATGTAATTTTTTTTTCCACCAAAATCATGTTGGTAAAGAATATTCTAGGTATATGAATTTTCTTCAAATTTAACAGCTTTTTAACTATAGTAATTTTTTACATAGTCATCAAAAAGGATCCAATAATAAAAATTATCGGTATGTGCCTTTGGGTACCAATATAAACAAAGAACTTATAATTTAAAACATATGCATCTTCATTTTAATATCCTTGTAAGCTGAATTGACAAACCTGTGTCCCGTTAAACTCTCCCAAAAAGTGACAGTTCCATCAGTTCCACAGGTCATAACCCATGCATGAGGTATTCCTTTTGCCTTAGTCCCAACACACACAAAGGCTTCTAATCCATATCCAAGAAGAAGGCTGCACAGAAGATTAGCATGATCTTCACAGTCACCCTAGAAAATGAAATGAATTTAAGTATTTATTCCTTCACATTGTTTCCTCATCAAATATTCAAATACAAAATTATAATAAAAGGGAATATTAATTTTTTCACTTTTAATCATAAGTCTAGTGTTAAGCTGAAACAATGGTGGGGGGACAAAATACACTAATTTTAGAAGACCCTAAATTATTTTACACAGTCAGTGCTCACAAACCTGATAGTCATAACATGTATACTTTAAGAGAGGGCTTTCAGGAGTGCCTGCCTGGGTGGCTCAGCAGGTTAAGCGTCCGACTTCGGCTCAGGTCACGATCTTGTGGTCCGTGAGTTCGAGCCCCGCGTCAGGCTCTGGGCTGATGGCTCGGAGCCTGGAGCCTGTTTCCGATTCTGTGTCTCCCTCTCTCTCTGCCCCTCCCCCGTTCATGCTCTGTCTCTCTCTGTCCCAAAAATAAATAAAAAAACGTTGAAAAAAAATTTTTTTTAAAAAAGAAAGAGAGACAAAGAGAGAGACACACAGCATGAGTGGGGGAGGGGCAGAGAGAGAGGAAGACACAGAATCAGAAGCAAGCTCCAGGCTCCATGCTGTCAGAACAGAGCCCCACGTCAGATTTGAACCCATGAACTGCGAGATCATGACCTGAGATCAACTCAGACACTCAACTGACTAAGCCACCCAGAAACCCCTACACAAATTCTTAAATATATACTTATATTTGAAACTAAACACAATACCATGCAATCCAAGACTTTTTTCCATATTCACTTTGTACTGCCATTTTCTCTTTTAAAAAAATGTATCATCTAAGTAGATTTTAACACATGAATAGTACTAGAAAGACTGCTGTTCTGGTCCCAGCGCCATCTCTAATTCACTGTTTAATTTACCTCTATATCTTAATTTCTGACACTATACTACTTGTCTCTACCTCACAAAAATCATATTACACTAAATAAGAAGCTATACAAGAAAACAAAGATGCCAAGGTTTTTCTTTATGTATTGAAAACAAAAGATTCTGACTAGTTCAAACGGACAATATATCCATTTTTCTAAGTTAATTATTTTCAAATGCAATAAATTCACAATAATGAAGATGTACTGGTTTTCCATTCTATTACATATGTAGGATACCTTGTTTCTACAGAGAAAGGCCAGCAGAGTGCACCACTGTTCCTGTTTACCTCCTCCTCCAATAACCGGGGCTCTTTCATAACCAAGGACATTAACAAATCTTGCTGCTTGCCTTGGAGTATCCAAAAGCCTCCCAGCTCGAAGTGGTTTAATATAGGAACAGACTGGTCTATTTATCCCATTTTCATCCTGGGGGAAGAGGGGAAAACACTGTAATGACAGATTAATCATCCCCAATTTTAACACTTTCTTAGAACATATTAATGTGGGATAAAAGAATTCTGGACACCACCACTTATTGAATGCTTACCCTGCATCCAGCACCAGGAAGCTGAGGGCTGTGCATGTAATTTTTCTTTTAGTCCTCTTAACATCTCTTACTGTTTTCATTTTATAAATGAAGAAACTGAAGCTACAGGTGTTATGGAATAGAGCTGGGATTTAAACCCTGAGCTGTCTGACTCCAAAGCTTGTGACAATAAGAACTTGAATTCTCGTGATTCAGCAATCTCACTACTGGATATATATCTGAAGCAACTGAAATCAGTATGTCAAAGAGATATCTGCATATCCATGTTCATTGCAGCATCACTCACAATATCCAAGGTATGGAAACAACTGAAATTTCCTTTAATGGATGAATCAGTAAAGAAAATGTGGTATTACATATACAACAGAGTATCATTCAGCTATAAAAAAGGAGATCCTGCTATTTATGACAACATGGACATATCTGAAGAGTATTATGCCAAATGAAATAAGCCAAACAGAGAAAGACAAATCTTGTATGGTGGTTGTCACTTACATGTAGAACCTTAAAACAAAACAAAACAAAACAAAACAAAACAAATCAAAGGTTCATTTCAAGAAATAGAGAATAGAATGGTTGGGAAGAGGGAGGAATAGGGGAGATGTAGGCTAAAGGGTACAAATTTTTAGTTACAAGAAGAGTAAGTTCTGACGATCTAACGTACAGCATGATGAGTAGTTAATAAACTTGAACGTTGCTGAGAATAGACCTTGAGCATCCTCACCGCACAAAAGAAGAGTTAACTATGTGAGGTGATGGATGTGTTCATTATCTTAATTTTGGTAGTAATTCCACAACATATATGTATATCAAGTCATTATGTCATGCACTTTAAATATATACAATTATATGCGTCAAGTATCCTTCAATAAAACTGAAAAAAAAAAAAAAAAAAAAAAAAAAAAGAACTCCTCTGAAAACAGAATAGGCAAGTGGGTAGGGGATGGAGAGGGGCTCTAAGCCAAACTATTCTTTCATATTATCATACAGAATTTAACACTATGTATTCAAACAATAGCTTTTCTGATTTACTGACACAACAACAAATTATCATAGCTCATTTTGTTTGTTTCCGTTACACTTGGAGATCCACAGGAAACAACGATTTTGTTGTTAACGATTTGTTAACCAAGTCAACTGAAAGCAGAGTTTTGAAAATCATTTTAGAAAAACATCTTACATTTCAAATACAGAATATATCCTAGGAGTTGAGCTAAAGAGCTACAGTGCATACAAAAGTCTCTGATGACTGTCTACCACTATGCTTTTAGAGTTAATATTATAAAAGCCCACATTTCCCTTAACTTCTTGATTACTGAGATGACAAAGTCAAAGGTCTACTTTCTATTCAAAATTCAAAGACAACACTCTCTATTATGGCAAGGCTCCTCAGAAATAAGACCTAACTCAGCCAACAGAAACATCATCTGTTCGAATTATCGGAACTATAGATGTCTTTTCTACACCACAAAAACATCACTTCTCCAATATAATCTCATACTTTAGCAATAAAAAAAAAATCCTATCATTTTCATTTAATTATAATGAGAAAGTCCATGAATTCTTATATGATGCAGAGCAAAATGTTATGATTTCACTCATAAGTATGGTCCTCAACTCTAAAAGGCACTGATTTTTTCCCCTGTCCTCTCCCACCCCACTGTACCTCCTGGCTCAAACACATCCATGGTAGTCTCTAAGTCTCCATCTCCCCCATGCTATCTTAGGAATCAGAAAGAGACAGAATGAAGGGATCAGTTGAAACAAAACAAAACAAAACCTCAAATAGAATGAAGAACCAAAGACAGATAAAGAAAATAAGGAAGAGAGACAGGAAAAGGAAGGAGATTTAAGCATAGGGTATTTCAAGGTACTCATTTTTTTTTTTTAATGTTTATTTATTTATTTTGAGAGAGAGAACAAGCGTGCACGTGGGGGTGGGGGTGGGGGGCACAGAGAGTGGAGACAGAGAGACAGAGAATCCTAAGCAGGCTCTGTACTGTCAGCACAGAGCCCCACATGGGACTCAATCCCACAAACCCTGAGATCATGACCTGAGCCAAAACTAAGAGTCTGACTCTCAACTAAATGAGCCACCCAGGCACCCCACAAGGTACTCATTTTTAAAACGGAAAATCATGATTCTAATTTTAGAGACAAGTAGAAAACTACTACTTGGATTTCTTTTACGTTAACTCATTAACTCAGTATTATTGTTAATCTAGTGTAGTATGAGAATATTAAGTCCTGAAATCACAATCTCAACATTAAAAAGATAATCTCAATCCTCAAGTGATTTATAACATTTTCCTAAAATTTAATGGCCTCAAAGATCAACTTCTATAACTTTTTAAAAATTTCTTGCACTAGAAAATTTAAAAGCTATGATTAAGTGAATTACTATTGTACTGTAGCAAAACAAGCAAGGGAGGGAGAAAAAGTACAATGATTATTAAATGTAATGACTCTGAGGATTCCACAGATGTTTGGTTAGGATAAAGGTAATTAACTGAGTTCCTGAGTAAGCCATTTAGTCCTATTCTTACAACTCCACTAATAGGGAAGGCATGAGCACCTAAAAGGTGGATGCATTTGCCCTAAATCAATCCTCAGTAGTAGCAGCTTAGAATACAAATATATCCTATGTTTCATTACAGCAATATTTCCTATAAATGTCCCCATAAACTAAATGTCTTGAAAATTTCAATATTTCAGCTTCTAAACCTGCAATGTCCACTAAGAATTAAGAATTTCCACTAAGAATGCCACCAACCCTATGTGGCTATTTAAATTTTAATTAAAATTCAGTAAGATTTAAAATTCAGTTCTTTATTGCATCGACCATATTCTGCATGCTCAATAGCACAATGGCTACCATACTGGACAGCAGAGAACATTTCCATCACTCCAGAAGGATAGTACTGTTGTAAACTATTTCTTGTGTCTGAAAGCAATGGAAATTCATTTTCAGACCATGTATAATTTAATATTATATATTATGTTATATATAAACATAATTTAATTATATTATATAATAATATTCTTTTGTTTAAAACTATAGTTTTTGTGATTGGATTGACTGCCTTAAGTAACTGGTGCTCCTTAATTTCCTATCGAATCAAATATAGAAAGCAGCAGCAAAAAACACTTCTGGGGAATAGCAGTAAGATAAACAGTTTATTTACTCTCTCTATATAGAGAGAGGTGGTCCCATCAAGCTAAAAAAGCACTAGGCAAAAGTGCAACTTAATAAAGTCTCCAAGACTGAGTTGCTGTTTGATCTTAGGAAAGATTCTTCATTCCTTTATCCCTTATACTGCTTATTTTTACAAAAGTGTCAATGCCTGACAAATTGACAATCTCATATGGTTACCATGAAACTAATGACCTATGTGGTTCAAATATTCTTACAATGAATTTTAAGAGACGAGAACTTGTTTAAGTAATATTTTCTGCATGAAAATCCCCATTCCCTGATTTGCTTAACTGCATATCTCAACCTCTTCCTCCTCCTCTTTCATTTGTCATTTCTTTGATCCACTTCCTCACCCACCCAGTCTTCTTCTGGTCCCAGATTCCACATGGCAATGAATCTCACCTCAGACTAAATAGACAGTAAAGAGCCAGTTATATTTTGACTGGTTTCTTTCCACCCCATCCTGACATCACTGCCACCTCACCTGCCCAAACAATGTACAGACAATGCGATCAGAAAGTGAGAAACCTTTTCCCTCATTTCCACCACTCATCAAGTAGGCTCTCCCATTCCTAAGCTCCTCATTTAGAAATTGAACCACTCTTAGCCCATCCCAGGGTAAAGCTAGACAAATGCACAGGATTTGAGATATGTTACTCAAAATAACACCATACTATACTCATATAAAAGCATCTATAAAACACTGAATACATATAAAATATTTGAATGGTTCCTCAGAATTACACAAATTAAGGATCTGATCATATATTTTATGCTGATTTGTTAATGAGAGAAAATGGGCATGGGATACAAGAAAAAACAGAGGCAGAGATATATAATTGAAATGATGCAGTTAAATATGACTAGTCACTGGCTCAGATGTATTGGCTAAACAGAATTATTACATGTAACACTGTCTTTAAAAAAATACCCTAACAACATATATGTCTAAGCATATATGCCCAAAGCCCCAATTCTGCACATGAAAACTAATACCACAAAGTATCCTAGTAGTTAATCATTTAGTACTAAGTATCAGTCAGGGACACACTCCAAGTTAAACAAAATGGGTTTTCATCTGTTTTAAATCAAATACATTAAAAAAGGTTTTAAAAAGGAATTGAAAATGAAAACCAAATTAAAACAAAGATTATGTTATGTTACTCACCTACTTAGTAAAAGAGAGTATCACAAAATCAGCATTCTATTTTTACAAATAAACTTCCATTTGTCTGGAATAAATACATTTTACAAATTCAACTTTATACATATATGAAATTTACATACATGAAATTTACATATATATGAAATTTACATATACAACAGTAAATCTCAAATACAGATATGAACCTTTCCCAATGCAATTTACAAACCTGTGCAAAAATCTTAACCAGCCGGGAGTTGTGTGAGGGTCGAATCTGCAAATATTCTCTCCACCACTGCTTAGCATATACAAGAAATAATCGTTCTTTCTCTGCAGTTTTCTGACGTTCCAAAGCAAGCTTCAAATTTAAAAAATATATTTTTTCAATTTCTATTTTTTCTCCTTAATTAAATACCGTAACAATTCTACATACTGCTCCCCATCTCTACCACTACCCTAATCTAAACCACCATCATCGTCATCATTTGTAAGAGCCCCTGACTTCCCAGTTTAATTTTTCTTTGAGAAAGAGCATGTGCATGTGCACATACACACACGTGTGTGTACCAGCTGGGGGGGGTAGAGAGAGAAGGAGAGAGAATTCCAAGTAGGCTCTACGCTGTCAGTGCAGAGCCCGACGCGGGGCTCCATCTCAAGTGTGAGATGACCTGAGCCAAAACCAAGAGTTGGCACTCAACTGAGCCACCCAGAAGCCCCTGACTTCCCTGTTTCTGCATACCCTCTCTACAATCTGGTCTACATATATTAGTCAGTGATCTTTATTCTCCCAAGACAAAAATTTAATAATCATATTGTCATTCTCTTGCTTAAAACTAATAAATGATAATTTTCTAAGAAAACACTGTCTAGGATCAACAGGTAAATATACAACTACGAAAACAAATACACAAAGAAAAGAAATTCAGAATTATTTACCTGTGTGTTCACTACTTCTTGAGATAATGTTTGATTGAGTGGTGGGTACATCTCAAGTTTTATATTTAAAATTCCCACAGAGACTTTTGATTCTGTGCCTATAAATATAAATATTTAGAACTTCAGAGGTTTCAAAACTATGTATACTTAGTCAACCAAAGTCCAACCAAAATAATTTAAGAATTTTGTGTTTCCACTTACATGAAATAGGTAATATTCAACATCACCTTTAATATTCATATTATTTGAGCCAGATCAAATTAGTTTTTATTTTGTACAAAGGCTTTTATCTAATTATAAGATTACCTATTTTCTGACCTTCCTAATCACATTTTAAGGGACTTTTGGGATCTAATTGATTTGGGATTCTTAATTTTTAATCTCATTAAATGTACGCCAACCACATTTACATTAAAAACAAAGTCAAAACAACTGTTAAAATCTCACTCTCAGAAAATATTTATACTCTTTGTCATCCAAAGTAATTCCCATTTATTTCTTCCCATTTTTCACATCACCTGTGAGTACAAATTTTCAATCCTTGCTTGGATTTAAGGAATCAGAAAACAAATACACTTTATACCAGAACTATTTACTATTTCACTGGTGAATCACTTGTTTCTTGGTCATTATTATGATAATCATGTTAGGCCTATATTTGAAGACAAATAATGGGTATCTCTTTTGAAAATAAATATCCCACATAAATTTTTTCCCCTACTTTCTATTTAAGGAAAAACACATTCTGGGTCTGACTTACCAAAATCTAAAGTACTAAAGCTATACTGTCCACAAGCCAGGTTTGATTCTGTGACTTAGTTTCAATACCAAACTAATTCCCTTACAGGTTATGCATAAAATACTGGCAGGTTTCATTTTGTTTTTCACTGTTATTAGCAAATACAGTATGTATTACACATCAAGAAGTACGAAAGAGTCCAAGGAGACAATGGTAAGACAGGCACCACCTCTGTCCTCAAAGAGTACTATTCACTCACTGATCCTGTCAATGAGCAAGTTAACACCTCTTTGAGTCCCACATTCCCACATGTAACAGGATGGAAGAATATCAACTCCACATCTGAATTACTGCTGTAGGAAGACACTAGTACTAATGGGGATGCACCGAACATTGGAGTGTGCTAAACTATAAGATTTTTGCATATGCATACATGCATGTGTGTGAAAAATCTTAATTTTCTTTACAGCCTTACATATTATCAGATCGATATGGAGAGGAGAAAAAAAGCTATCAAAATTTCTCTATTCATTTCCCATAAAATTTTTTTTTCCTTAAGACAAGGTCAGATTGACTGTGAAGTTCTATAGTCATAGCACACTTCAAGACATTTCCTAAGACTATAATACTGGAGTCCAACTGTAATTCTAATGAAATTTTTACATGTTTCCTTCTTGGGTTATAAAGGCATTCGGAAAACATAAAATGTATTTACAAACAAACTGGTTACAAAAAGGTAACAGTGATTAGTTATCATACCTACACCCATAAGTTCCACAGTAAGACTGGTCACTCCATTTTCTGAGCCCAAAACTGATCGCCATTCAAGAAAATAGGATGCTACTAAAGTAGTCTCACCAAATATGTCTGTTTTGATTAGCACCATATGAACTGGATCGCTTATTGATAACATTGTTGTTGAATCAGCCATTCTAGTTCCATCACCTGGCAACATAAACCAAACAAATGCACCACATTACATATTCCATTATGGCCAACATAGAACAGTTCTATTGCAAAGAATACTAATAATAAACTTACATAAAACCAAATGAAATAATTCAGTAATGCCTCAGAAAGTATGCAACAAATTATTAAAAAAGTACTATCCCAAATTTGTCACTAACTTTTGAGAAAACTAGAATAATTGTGATGAGTCATCTAGTTACTCAATGCATATCAGGGTTTTTCATCCCTAAGAGATAAGTCTGTTCTTTAAAAGTACTTAACTAGGGACGCCTGGGTGGCTCAGTTAGTTGAGCATCCAATTCTTGATATCAGTTTGGGTCATGATCTTTCAGTACATGAATTTGCAGCCCACATCAAGCTCTGCATTCACAGCACAGAGCCTGCTTGGGATTCTGTCTCCCTTTCTCTCTGCCCCACCCCTGTATGCACACACACACTCTCTCTCAAAAATAAATAAGATAAACTTAAAACAAAATAAACAAAAGCACTTAACTAAAATCTACCATAATAAAAAGCCTTCAAATATGTCAACATTAACCCCTAAACTACCTTTATCCCTAAGCCTCCAGAAATAATCACTGTATTATCTACACAAAACTGAAAGATTGGCACCTTGGAGCCAGCATGTGAAGCCATTAACAGCCTAATTAAGGCAACATTTTTCACAAGGGGAAAAAAATTTTTTTCATAGTGTATTAACCATCTTAGGTAATCTAAAATTCTAAAGGCATAATTCTGTAACTTTGCTAAATTTGCTAACCAAAACATAAAATACATTTACAGAAGCTATGTAAAATATAGGAATCAACTATCACAACTTTAAAATTATGAGAATTATAGATTCCCATCTAAATTTTTTTTATTTTTGAAAGTTATGTAACATCATAAATCTAGCCATCTTTTATAAATGAGTAGAATCATGACTCATCCTCCAATATATCCTCAGCACTAGCCTAGTATTGTATAATGCACCGAATACGCATTTAAGTGTTTATTACAAAAGAAGCAACCATTAAAGCAGTAAAAAAATAATCTTCAAGGAAAACTAAGTAGCAGAAAATAAAGTAAGAAGGTGGGTGGAAGTAGATTTTATAAAAAAGAGGGGAGAAAAAAACACCTAGGGAGATTTACTCATTTTAAATCTCTCATTACAGCAAAAGTCTTATGGTTGTTCTGCAATAAAACCTAACAAAGATTTACTCAATTAAATGACAATTTATTATTGCTTCTTACCCAAGCTTTCTCTGTGTACTTCAAGTAAAAAGCCATCATGAAAATCTGGTTCACAGGCACATGGAACAGGTTTAGAACGAAAACGTTGGTTTCGAAAATGTAAACATAAAGTAAAGGTTGAACAAACTTGTCCCGGTAAAGGCTCAGGTTCTTGTAGATGTTCCAAGAAAGCTTTTCCACCCAAAACCTGAAGGTAAAGATACCTCCGTGTTGGATCAATATTAGCTGTAAAGTGTAGCAATATATATGAGGAAACTGCCAAATAACTTAAGGAATGTGATCAAGACAATAGGAAATAATAACTTGACAGAAATAAAATCAAAGACTAAATAAAGAAAAAGTAACACATTTACTGTATACCAGGACCATTTGCAACCAGGGAAGAATAGATACATAATAAAATATTTTTATCTGAGTTTATATGCTGGCTACTCTCTCCCAGCTAGAAAGGAGTCAGAGCCAATGCTTAAGAAATCTACTTTTTAGTTGCTTATCCAACACTCCTTCACCTCCACAAACTCAGACAAATATCAGCTCAGCAAGTATACTTGTTAAGTAATTACCATTAAAAGACTGTACAGTGTTTATAAAATACATTATTAAAACATGAGCAACAGGTGATCCTGTTTTTGCTTCCACTCTGCTACATGTTAAATCTTCTGACATAATACACACTTCATGCAAAACAGAATCTAAGTTTTTTTGGATGATTAATCATAAAAATATTAGTATCTCATTCCAGAAAGAAAAAATGTTTTCTATCAAATACCAAACACTATAGCACATCAATATGTAGTACTATCCAAAATGAAATCAATGTTAAAAAGAAATACACATACTTTTTTTTAACAAGGTTGATTGTCTATCAGTGAAACAAACAGTTTGTTTTGGAGAGGAAGGGAGTTCTTGATCAACACTGTCCTAGAAAGGCAGAAAAAAAAGAAAACAAATTAGAAAACAAAAAATATAACTAAGCAAGGGAATGGCAACAATGGAACTAAGTAAATAGTATAAAGCCCCCCCTCAAGGAAACTTTTCCCAGCCTAATTAAATAATTACATAATTAAAATAATGAAAAGTCTGCAAAAAAGGTGGTGTTACTGGTCACTCCTAAAGTTTGATAAGTAATTAAACAGCCTTCAACCAATGTCCACAGAATGCTAAAAACAAATTCTTAATGTCTTAAGGGTAAACTTTTTCTAAACCTAACATTTGCCTTATGATTCTACCATGAACTAATTTTAACAAGGAAATGACATTCCCATAGCAGAAGCTGTTACTGGGTCAATTTTTAAACAAATGGGTTAATAAACCTCAAAAACCAAAAAAAAGAGGCTGTATTAAAAAACTTATTCCCTGATGTATTATGCAGTCCATCCAATTTTTACATTATAATACCCAGATATTGAGGTCACAGTTTCTCATTATTGCCTCATTTTCAAAAGACCTACTTACTAATTTGTCCACTGAGAGACTATCATCCCATTACTGACCTATTTGTATGAAGAGATTTGAAGGTTCTTATGCAATCATTTTTTTAAAGAAATTGATAATTTGTTAATCACAGACAATGGAGTTCCAAAAGAATGTATTAAAAAAATAGGCCTAATCAAAAACGTTATAGAACAATACTAGTGAAAAAGAACTAGTGAAAAAGACCTAATTTAACTAAAATATGTATACTTAAAGTTACAGAACCAGAGAATAACAACAGAAAATTCTGTAGAGAGAGCAATATGGTATGTAACTCCAATCTCACTGATACATAATCCTACTTTCTATTTTTCAAGGGTAGAGTTAGCTTATATTTGAAGTAAAGATAGTATTAGGTAAAATGATCTTATTCATTTTTTTAACATTTTATTTCATTTATTTAATATTTTAAAGTTTATTTAAAGATTTTACTTTTTAAGAAATCTTTATACCCAATGTGAGCCTCCAAACCACAAGAGTTGCATGCTCTACCCCAAATTGTCTCATTTTAAAGTGGTTTTCCTAAAAAGAGGCCCCAAATATGGACCCTATAAGTGGCATTAAGCATGAGAACATACTCTCAAAATCTTTCCCCTAAAAGATTACTCACAGTAACAAAATTAAGTTCTTTCATCACATCATCAATGATTCCCCGACGTCTAAGGGCTTTGATCAAATCTTCAGTTGATAACTGTTGTTGATCAGGTGCCAATTCTTCCCGTATTGTCTCAGCAAGGATTTCTCTTATTCTGCCATGGACATCCATCTACGTAGAAAACTCGAATTACCATTTACATTACAAAGCCATCAAACATTGCCAATCAGCTAATTTCTTTCTAAAACACCCAAAGGAAAAAAAATATGATGGGAGAGTAGATAGATAAAATTCAGGAAGGCTTCTCAAGATAATAGTAAATGTAAAATTGTTACCAGAATTCAATAAGAATAAAGGTTAAGATTTTTAAAAGGAAGAAAACCAAAAAAAAATTTAGGATGATTTTTTTTTTTTTTTAGTACAAATTCTAGGAATAATTTCAGCTGGTTATCTGCTACCTTTGTTATCAGTTCCCCACAAATAACATTCAACCAAAGCAGACCTTTTGAAAGAGAATTGTTGTATAATCAAAAGAATACAAACCTGGAGAACCTCAAAGTCTGCTTATTAGATGTGACCCTGAGTTAACTTATTCACCCTTTATGGAAAAAAAATAATGCCCTGCCAAGACCATATTGTGAGGCTTAGCCAAAAAATGCTGAACACTGAGCAGAAAGCCTGGCAAGTGTACAATAAACCGTAGCTTTTATTATTTCCGATTACTGCATTCAGTTGAGCACCTCAACAATGTTCTCCTTGAGCTTCGAAACATCACAAACGCTTTTCGTTGCAAGTCCTTCAGTAACTTCCCTTTCATGACTTCTTTAAGAATTGCTGATTTGGTTCAACTTGAAAGACACAAGTTTCACCCTTAAAGTAACTCCAATTTCAGACCTCTGAATATACACCTGCTCCAAACACAACTTGTACTCGATCTGATCTCCAAAAACCGCGGGATGAATGCTTCGTTCTCACAGCTGTGCTATCACTCTCCCACGTTCCGTCACCTCAAACTCTCACTAGCACTTGCCGGCATTGTTGTCTTTCAGCGAGGCTAGAGAGCGGCCCCGGCTGGACACCCGGAGACGGCCCAGCCGTGCTCTGCGCCCCAGAGCCTGCGCTCGTGTCCCCGGCAAACAGGCGCCGCCGTCGGTCGGGCCTCGGGATGCCAGGTCGGGCGCTCAGGACCAAAGGCGGGCGGAGAGGCCCGGTCTCGCCCGGCGCCCGCGGCCCTCACCTTGCTCAGCTGCTGGTGGATGAGCTGCTTCAGCTCCGAGGCTTTCTCCGGCGGCAGCGACATGCTGGGGCCAGCGCCTCACCGCGCTTCTCCCCGCCTCGGGCGCTCCCCGGCCAGCCCCGGAGTGCCAGACGCGGCAGAGCAGAGCCGGCGCGACCGTCGGCCTCGCGCAGCTCCCGGGGGGCGCGACGCCGCGTCAGGCCGGGCTGGGCGGGAGCCGAAGCGGCGGCTGCGGCGGCGGCTGCGGCTGCGGCTCTCAACTGTTGCTTTCAAACGGCGCGGACTACCAAGCCTCGGGCTGCCCCCAGCCCTGCCTGACCACCTCCACCTGCCGCTCCCCTCCCTCGGGGTCGCCACCCAGCAACCTCAGCGCTCCCCATCGCCCTGCCCTGCCGGGGTCGCCGGGGTCTCCGCAGGCGCTGCCGACCCCCATCTCTTCCCCACTCGCGGGCCCCTTCCGCACTGCGGACCGGCAGGTAGCTGGACGGGCCCTTCAGGACCCCACGCCGCGCGACTCCACGGCCCCGCCCCGCCCCCGTCGCTAGGGGCTCTGGGGACTCCAGCGCGCGGACGGAGCGAGGCGCTCGCGGTTTCGCGCTCGCGTCGCCTGCGTTTCCTCTAGGTCAGTGCTCGCCCAGTCCTTCCATTTCGGTGCGACCATGTTTGTTCCCTGCGGAGATTCTGTCCCCGACCTCGCTGGCTTCACCTTCCTAATGGTGAGTCCCGCTTTCTCGAGCTCCGCCTGCTTGGCTTGGGGTGCTGTCTGTCGGGAGGCGCCTGGGGGGCCGCCACCGCGCCTCGAGGTCTTTCACTCGCCCTGGGACAGAAGTCGGTGCTTGCTTAAAACGGGGAGGTTGTCGCTAGAGTCCGGGCTGCAGAAAGAATCTTTGTTGGCGCTATCACCAGACGTTTCTGAGACTAGAGTTTGTAGTCTTAACTGTAAAACGTAATGTGTTTGATTATTATTGGTAACGTTGTACGTAGGTTGTGCGGGCCATTTTCTTTTCGTTGTATCCTAGAAAATCTTTTTTTCCAGCTAGTAGCAGAGGCTTTCTTAAGCTGGCAGGGCTTTGTCATTAACCAGATAACTACAGAAAAGGAAACCTTGCCAGTACCTAACACACGGTTTTATTGCTCCTAAAATTGCCCATATTCAGTCACTGTTTCAATAAAGAGTCTATTAGAATAAGACTAGGTCCTTGTTCTCAAGGAGTGTCCAGTTTAGTTGCAAACACACGTAAATCAATAAGGGCAATAAATGCTAGGATAGCACTTTGTAAAGGGCACAGAAGAACCCTAGGATTTGTTGGGAGGGGGAGGGACACAGGGACCCGTTTAAAAAAAAAAAAGCTTCATATGTGGAATCTGGGAAAAAAAACCCAACTTTATAGATAAAGAGAACAGGTTGGTGGTTGCTAGAGGCAGATGAGAATGAGAGCTGCTTGGATGAAATAGATGAAGGTAGTCAAAAGGTACAACTCTACAGTTATAAATAAGTCCTGGGGATGTAATGTACAGCATGGTGACTGTAATTAATAGTACTGTAGTGTATATTTGAAATTTGCTAAGAGAGTAGATCTTAAAAGTTCTCATTACAAGGGGTGCCTGGGCAGCTCAGTTAACTCTGACTTCGGCTTAGGTCATGATCTCACAGTTTGTGAGTTCAAGCCCCACATCTGGCTCTGTGCTGACAGCTCAGAGCCTGGAGCCTGCTTTGGATTCTGTGTGTGTCTCTCTCTGTCTTAAAAATAAATAAAACATTAAAACATTCTTTTAAAAAGTTCTCATTACAAGAAAAATTTGTATCTGATTGATGTTAAGTAAACATTGTGGTAATCATTTCACAATATGTATATATATATATATCAGCTGATATATGTTTATACCTGAAACTGATACACTGTTATATGTCAGTTATATCTTAATTTTTTAAGTGATGATAATCACTTTTGGGCAATTCTCACCTTAATGCATGCAAGAAATATCAGTGAATGCTAAAATTTGTGATGATGTACTGTTGAAGGAAATTTTGTAGTATTTCATAGTATCTCTCTGAAAAATATTTATTAATCACAAAAGAGAAAAGCATCCTTCCAGGAGATATCTGGCAGAAGAAAAAAAAAAAGATTCGTGGGGAAAGTAATGTCTAAGAGATTATTGGCGGTAACCTTGACCGTTATCAGTAAAGTAGCAAAGGGAGGGAAGCCATATTGGAGTGGGCTGAATAAGTGGAAGAAGAGATAGAGAATATATGTATGTATTTGTTCATTAATTCAGAGATAAAGTGCCTGAATGCTTGTGCTTTAGTGGACAGCTGTTGGGAATTTTGGTTATGGAGAGACACCAAGAAGTGAGGTGGTAGCTAGGGGAGTATGTAGGATCAAGGGAGGGTATTTTAGAAGGAAAGATTATAGCGTGTATATATATATATATATATATATATATATATATATATATATACACACACATACATACATACATACACATAGTGATGAGAAGAATACAATAGTGAGGAAAGTGTAGATGTAGGAAAGAGAGAAACAGTCTAAACTAAGTAGCAGAATCCTTGGGAAGGGTAAGGGAATTACAGAAGATAACCAGGAGAGTAGTAGATGAGAGCAATGAGAAGTGGGAGACCACTCTGAGGGACCCAGAAAAATAAGAGGAAATGGAGATGGGGGAAGCAATTGCTAGAAGAATGCAAAGGAAGGGCTATATTAAAGAGATAAGTAGAATCAATAAAAATTAGCCATGTATTCTAAGTAGTTGGTAGGAGAAAAGGAAGAAGTTTTTTAGTTTAGGTAATTGAGTAATTGTTTCACTTTTGAAATACAAAACATGAGGACAAGTTTGGGCAACAGTTTAGTTTTGTACATGTTGAATGTGCATTGCCTATGAGAGAATCATGGGGAGATATCCATTAGTCTCTGGAGTTGAGATAAATGTTCTGGGCGATAGGTAGAGGTTTGGCAGTTGGACTGTTTGAAGTCATGGGGGTAAATATGTGTGTGTGTTCAACGTAAAAAGCTGACTCTAACCTTTATGCACTAACAAAGCAAAGGGAAAGATGACCCAAGAAGCCTTTATACTTGCTTTCCCACTGCGTGAAGTGTTTTTTTCCCTGGTCTTCGTATGGCTGTCTTCCTTAAGTCTCCCAGGTCTATAGTTGACTGGTCATCTAAAGTCTTTCCTTGATCACCCTGTTTAAAATTGCAACCAAACACATATACACTCTCACTTAATTTTTCTCCACAGCACTTACCTCTGTATATAGGCATCTCAAAGATATTGTGGGTTTGGTTTCAGATCACAGCAATAAAGTGAATATCACAATAAAGCCAGTCAGATGAATTTTTTGGTTTCCCAGTGGATGTGAAAATTATGTTTATATTATAATGTATTAAGTTTGCATTATGTCTAAAAAGACAATGTACATACCTTAATTTTAAAATATGTTATTGCTAAACAATGCTGGCCATCATCTGAGCTTTTGGTGAGTCATAATCACCATAAATCAAATGATAACAAATATAATAATAATGAAAAAGTTTGAAATATTGAGAGAATTACCAAAATGTGACAAACGCAAAGTGAACAAATGCTGTTGGAAAAATGGTGCCAAAAGACCTGCTTGAGGCTGGGTTGCCACAGACATTCAAGTGCCATAAAATAAAGTACGCCTGTATTTCACTATTTTATTATATTTAACTACTCCCTTACTAGAATGAGAGTTCCACAAGGCAGGAATTTTTATCCGTTTGTCTTCCTGCATTCCTAGTGCTTAGGGCAATGATTGGCACATAGTCGGTTTTCAATAAGGTGTTAAACCAATAGTCTCCAAAGTAGAGGAAGCCCCTGCTGACACTTTGTTGAAGCTAATGCAGAGAGTCCATATTTAGTTCTGATGCACCTGAGCATAACCATTCAGATGTAGTCCTGTGATTATTGTCTTCTGTCTAAGCTTTTAAAAGTGCTGCTAATTTTGATTACTTAATGAACATTTTTTATTTCAGCCAGCAGTATCTGTTGGAAATGTTGGCCAGCTTGCAATAGATTTGATTATTTCTACACTGAATATGTGTAAAATTGGTTACTTCTATACTGATTGTCTTGTGCCAATGGTTGGAAACAATCCATATGCAACTGCAGAAGAAAATTCAACAGAACTCAGTATAAATGCTGAAGGTATGTAAGGTTTTGCATGTTTTATTCTCTTACAAGGAAGAGTTGTTTTAAATCAGAAATAGATTCAATGGATATTGTTTTATAGCATATATTTATTTAGTGCCAGTTTTGTGCAGTATTTATGACATGGTCATATTGTCCTATTGTACATCATGGTTTTAGTTCTTAGTCTTTTCTAAATGGCAGCTCCTAAGATGACTGTACTTATATTTTTTACTAGAATTTGAGATTTCCTTTTTTTTTTTTTTTTTAACATAAAGGTTTTTTGTCCTTCTTTTATCCTCAGTTTTAATTTCTGATCTTTCTGGCAAGTATAAGCACCACTAATACTAGAGAAAGGGGTAAAGAGAATTCCACCGAGCTCAGTCCTGTATGTTTAACATGTGCTACCTTACGTAGGCCTGATAGTTATCCTCTCATGTTATTATAGAATCCATAATAATATAATATTGATAAGGCTCAGAGAATTGAGTTGCCTAATACTACTAGTAGACATAGGCTTTTACCATGCCATAAATCTCCATAATTCCTCATTGCACTGTCATGTTTGTTTTAATTGGGGAACACAGTTGACATTGCCGTGACCACTGTGTTTATAATACAGAACTGCTCTGAGTGAGTGGGGGAAAGCTATTGATCATGAAGCACAGGAGCACCCACTTGCTTCGTTTGATGACAAGGTGCTCTGTTGGCTTCTCAGTGTTCTGTTTACCATAAGACTGAATTCAGCTATTGCCTTAAAGGATAAAGTACTAGAAATAGTAGAACTAGAATTTATATACTTCCACTAATGATAACAACTATCATTTTATATGAGCTGAGCACTGTGTGCATTAATACTCTTTACATGTATTAATCCATTTAATCCTCACAACTAC